CCCCAAAACCCCAAAACCCCAAAACCCCACAAACTCATATATCAGAATCAAAAGGTAAAAGTTCAATTAAGTTTGTTATAATAATAAATAAGGGATTCAGAGAACATTTAAGATGAAACCCTAATCATCACAAACTCTCAGGAGATAAAAGGAACCAATTCTGCCATATAGTTATGGACTCACAGTCTATACATTGATTGGAACTCTATTCTTTTATGCGATTATTTAGACTTTGGCAGATTTAACTTCAAGGCTGCCAAGTTATGACACCAGTAATAAACCCATGTATTTTTAATAAATATAGAATCTGAGGCATTTCGCCAATTTTATCAGAGGGGGATATCATTTAATACAACCTACATTTACCTTGGCTCAATGGCATTTTACATTGGACTTCTCATTCTTGGATTTGTTTATGTAGTCACAGTGAGTTTAGGCTTTGAGAGATCAAATATTTTAAAGGGAAGTGATGGGACATACAGTGACATTAAGCATTTAATTATCTACGGAATAATTTACTATTTCTTATCAGGAATCGTGGCCCTAAGATCTCCATATTAACTGTAGAGCTTTTGTGATTAATCTCAATAAAAACCAGAGCACCATTTGATGATGAACAACATCAATTAAGACGTTTTATAGAATCCAATGCACAAAATGTTTGCCTCAGTTCATGAAATGGATTATCATTTATATGAAACTTCAACTCAAAAATAAATAGAGAGTAAAAAGATCTTGAGTGAACCTTATGATGGTGAATAAGAAGAGGATTAGAATGAACTTTGCAAGTTGTATGATCTAAATGATGTAGTAGATTATAACTATCACGTTTATACTTTTGGCTTCATTGCTGGACTTTAAATCACTCATTTATAGTTAAGCTTCCTCAGAGACTTTAAAATCTCACCCGCATCAATGAGATCTTGGCCCATATATCTCTGGATTATTTTTTCAATTGGAGTACTGTTCTTCGGTCAAATCTTCTTCTATTTGTTTCATTTATATGAATAAATTGGATTGCTTGATTACTACACACGATGGGCAATATTTATCATTGGAGTAACTATCGTGTGCAATAAGATTTATTCAAAGCAAGGCCGAGTCTTGCATCTTCATCATTATATCCTAGCTTAAATCATGCTGGTATTCTGCTGCTACTAAAATCTATTCGTTTCATTCATTCATGCTTTTGCATCAGGAGTCATGACTGAAGGATTGGCTAGATGGGGCGCTGGTGAGATATGGTAGCTCAAACAAGTAAACTAAACATAACCAGAATTAAAGTCAAATCATGAGCAGTATATGATAATTAATCAAGATGAAGATAGGAAATGTCAAGAATTGGCTTGAAGTTATCAAATAAAAACATTTTATATTAATATATTGAGAGAGCTTTATTGGATTTCTTTAAAAGGAAGCATGGGGTTTTGGGGTTTTGGGG